TTTAGAATAAAGCTCCTGTAAAATCAACCTAAACTAAGAAGTTAGGTGTCTACTAATTAATGTGAATGTACTCTAGAATCCTGTTGTGAAAACGAATTCATTGAACTTTGATAGGGAAAGTTTGTGGAAACAGCATATGGAAGCTTTTAAATTAACCATATGTGCTGTAGTTCTTCTCCATTATTACCTTATAAATTGGCATTATCTATCCTAAATTCAATAGCGTAGATTTCGGGAACAATGTAGTCCTAAATCTTGTGAACCGTGCAGGCAGATCATAATCTTGTTTACTCATGATGAGAATTCCCTAAGGCACATGCCTTTTAAAAACTATTTCTAGAATGGAGGCCACTTTTGTACTTACTGAAAAGATTACAATATTAGAAACATAACAATAGCGTCATGGATATATTGCAATAGTTCCCAAATTTATGCTGTAGCCTGTGTAAAGAGTTCCCATTTTTTCTTTTTTTAAAAAAAAAATAGTATTGTACACACACATGTTGAAAGTGGCCTACAATTTTTTAAAAAAAACATTTTTCTTGCATTTGAAGTAGTTTGAGCAAGTAAGTGGAAATAACATGAAACTCAATTTCATTCAAAAACAATGTCTAAAACATAAGATTATAGGATGATACACAGGATATCCTGCCTTTGAATGGTGTAGAAGATTTTGCGACCAGAGGGACAATAGCAAGCCACAGGTCAGTGTGACTAGTATACAAAGTCAGTCATGTTATGTTACCTCCTGAGTCAACCTTTACCCCCCTCTCTGTCAAAATACACTATTAAGTGAAATAATTAGTTGTTTCCTTTTTTCCATTTCACTCTAAATGTGCATTGACATGCCTGACTCGCAGTTCTCAAATGCAGGAGAACCACTCCTCTGTTTTCAGAAACATGGCTGTTCTCTTTCTGTGGAAGTGGAGATCCCACTGTCCTATGGACTTATTTCCTTATACTGTGTGGGTGGGTTGTTAAAACTGTAATTCTTAAAAGGTTGTAGGAAACTATGCATTATGTGTGTGTGTGTGCCATCAAGTTGCCTGTTGACTTATGGTGACTCAATGAACTTTACAGGGTTTTCTTGGACAAGGAATACTCAGAAGTGAGGTGGTTTTGCTGAATTCTTTATCTGAAATATTGCCTACAGCACCATTTATTTGTTAGTGATCTCACATCCAGGTACTAACCAGACCCGACTCTGCTTAGCTTTCAAGTTCAGTTGGGAATTTGTGCCTTTATGGCATCTGGGTCCCCAGATGTTTTGGCCTTCAACTCCCAGAAATCCTAACAGCTGGCTGGGATTTCTGGGAGTTGTAGGCCAAAACTCCTGGGGACCCACAGGTTGAGAACCACTGTTTTATGGTGTTTGGGCAATATGTATAATACTGCATCATTTCTCTCTCTCTCTCCCTCTCATTTCTGTAAAATTGTTGAATATTATCTGAATCAGTTCTGACTAATTATGCAGACTGATTAATGAGCTGTTTTGTTTCAGTTTGTTCCTGTTTGTTTTCTCCCTGTGCTCAAAATTTAAATATTTGAAGTCTTTAAAAGGAGCACTGTTTTCATTGAAGACAATAAAGACATTTTGGAGAAATGGCATGTGCTTTTCTTGGTTTTCCGTTTGGAAAAAAAATGTAATATATGAAAATAATCAAGAAGTGACATTTCTCATTTGTCAGAAGGCCAGGCGGAATCCTCTCTTCTAGAAATGATACTTTTAACAAGATGATGGAATCACAACTAAGTCTTCTCTGCGAGAATTACTTATGATTCTTTTGAGAGAAATCAGGAAGTCCCTTCCCAAGTGTATACAATATTCACTCACATAAAGGAGGAAGGCAATAAGTGGTGTTGCCCTGTATACTTGCTTGAGCATATGTCTGTAAATGACTCATTTTAAAAAAGGAAATAAGTCTTTCTGTGACATAAGTGAATAGGCTTGGATTTAGCTCAAATGTACCAGGATGGGGGTAGGGAAATGGCAGCCTGTGGGAGGCAAGTAACCTGTGATGCCCACCCCATCTGTCACCTTCTTTGTACTCCCTCCTGCCCAGCAGTTTATTTTTTTAAGTGTCAATTGGCAATAACAGAAGCTCTTTAAAATACACACATAATTGTATGTATGCAAGAGGCAGAACTGGTGAAAACTAGCCTGCTTCTCCCCATATAGAATATTTATCTTTTGCCCCCAAGTGCTGTTACCTTCATCTTGAAGGCAAGCTGAAGTATTCCAGGGTGTGGGATATTTTGTGGAAAGGTTTACAAATTGTGATGTCAAGGTTACCCCTATGGGACTGTTAGGCTCTATCAGTGAAAAGTACTTTCTTTGCTTGTTGTTTACTTCAGCTTATTAAATCACTGGGTTCTAATTCTAGAAAAAGCCACTTTCATTCTCAGGAAACATGTTCAGAGGTAGCTGTGTTGGTTGCATAGCAAAATCTACCAAAACTCACAAAAGAACTATGACTTTATTGGCCAACCAAATGCAGACAATGCATCATACAGAATTTTGAAGTTCTACTGGCTTCTTCGGAGCCCCCAGTAGTGCAGCAGGTTAAACTGCTGAGCTGTTGACCTTGCTGACCAAAAAGTCAGCAGTTTGAATCTGGGGAGTGGGGTGAGCACAGTGCAGTGGCATCAGAACAACTGGTACTAGAATTAGCAGTTCAAAGCTCAAGAATTCAATAAGGGATATCAGTATATTAGCCACAGGTGGTGCTCTGGAAATTGTAGGAAGGTTAATCATGATCTAAAAGAGGCATCGTCATATTACATACCAAAAATCAAAGGAAACAGTCAAATTTCTCATAAGAAGGAACCATGCTAGATTAGACCAAGGACTAAGTAGGCCATTTTTCTATTTCTACAATGACCAACTGTTCGCCTACTGGAAATCAGTCAGCAGGATGTGACTGCAACTGTAGTCAGTTTGCTCGCCTCCCACTTTATATTTGACAGATTTCATTTGTTCATTGTAAGAGTTTGATTTATTAAATAAATCCAAGTCAATTTAATTACATAGGTATGTTTATGTATGTATGTCAGCAAGTATTATTCTAATAGCTTAACTTGTACCATGATTAATGTGTTAGTCTTTTACATGGTTTGTATTGTATCTGAGAGGTTCTTAAGGACTCTTATTTCCTACCAGAATTTCTGCTATGACGTTTGGCCAAAACTGCTTTATAGTCGTCTGATGCCATCCAGATCAACATATGTAAGCATGAGCTTAGAAAAGCCTGTCTTGCATTACTAAATGGATTCCTTGGAAGTAGTTCTGTTATAGTCTCTCAATATACTTTTGAAACTCTTAATACCTGGTATTGAGTTTCCAGGGATTGAATATGCTTGACATCAACTTAATGGTTTGTCACTGAACAAGCCCTCATAATATAATTAATTTCCCCAAATAATCCAAGTTATACTGACCTTTTTATTGTTTTGTTCAAAACTGTTTCCTTGTAGAAACTCTTGCCTAATTTATTATCATATCCCCATTATATTGGATCACCAGATTAGACAAAGGTTCCTTTCTCTGTAGTGACACAAAAAGACACAATCGCAGCTGGCTCCTCCCAGTCTTCAAAGCCAGGCACCAAAAATTGTGAAACAACGGACTCTTTTCCGATTTCTGACCATCTTGGCTTCTGGGGGTTTTTTTTATCGGAGAAGGAGAACAAAGGCTACTCAAAACCTGCCTTGTTGTGCCTGTCTCTATTGTGTTCAGTTCCAAGCTCTCTATCTGTAGTTAAGCTTCTGTAATCTCATAAATGTGTAGAAAAACATGGATTTTGTGTATGATGTAAATGTCACTTTAGTAATCAGCAAGACGAACTGAAAGTATGTTGGATTCATATGGATGGAAGGAAAAAAGTTGATCCAGCAATGGTTTAAATAGGATTTAAATTTATTTGCCAAAAATACATGGTGCTAGGTATTGAATTCTGAAGATATGAGAGAGTTCTGGCTGAAATTCATTCCCTATGTTCACAATTACTGATACGACTGCTCAAGAGTTAAGTTTTTTTACTTTTTTAGTGGGTATGATTAGAAAATAATTTGTAATACACATTTGCTAAAAAGATATATCTCTTGAAAAATCCTTTGAATTTGAATTCTATTTTCAGTGCAGGCAGAACATAATCTTTCTTTATTGATTTATTGATTGCATATTAGTTATTACTTGGAGCCCCGGTGGTGCAGTGGGTTAAACCCCTGTGCCGGCAGGACTGCTGACCGAAAGATTTGCGGTTGGAATCTGGGGAGCAGGGTGAGCTCCCTTCTGTCAGCTCCAGCTTGTTATATGGGGACATGAAAGAACCCTCCCATAGGATGGTAAAACATCTGGGTGTTCCTTGGGCAACACCCTTGCAGATGGCCAATTTTCTCATGCCAGAAGCAACTTGCGGTTTCTCAATTCGCTCCTGACATTGAAAAAAGTTATTGCTTTTGTTTTAAATTATGCCTCTAAATATAATACCCAAGCCAGTGTAATATAGTGGTCAGATGTTAAAGATTCTGGGAAGCTAGGGTTTGAATCTCGGATTAGAAACGTAATAGTTGACCTTGGGCAAGTTACTAACTAGCTTAAGAAGAAGCAATGGAAAGCGTTCTTTGAATAAACCTTTTCGGGAAAACACTATAGTAGACTTGATGTGAGTCAGAGTTGACTTGAAGGCACACCACAGCAGCAGCAGCAGCAGCAACAACAACAATGCATTACCCATTTCTCATTTTTCTTCTCTAATAAATATAGAGAAAAGTGGTATGTATAATGAACTAAGGGATAGGAAACATTTGGCCTTTCAGATTTCTTGAAAGGCAGCTCTCATAGCCTTTTCCCATTAACCATGCTGAGAACATTCATTGTAGGCTGGGTGTTCCAACAAAATCTGGAGGTTGCTTACCTAACAGATATAGCTATTGGCCTATAATGATATTTTTTCCATGTTTCATATTTCTCTTAATTTTTGTTTCCTCATTCTCTGTAGATCAATGAACTGAGCCACGTTCAAATACCTGTTATGTTGATGCCAGATGACTTCAAAGCATATTCAAAGATAAAAGTGGACAATCACCTTTTCAACAAGTAAGCAGATAACCTTGTCTGTAGTATGAATTGTAAATTCATGAATAGAAAGGGTCTTTTTTTTACTTGGATACTGTGATTTTGTGAAAACATTAGCTAATGTACTGTGGAGCAGTGTGTGTTTTTATCATATTTGTATGATATTTTCTAGAAGTTTTATTAATCATTTTTACATTAAAATTTCATAAAATATCTGCATATCAAATGAAATATTTCACCACAGAGCAGATGACAGTGGTGTCCTTCTCATTAATTTAAAACCAGCTAAAAGCAAACCATTATAGAATTACTCTCCCCATCCCCTTCCCTGCTCTCTTGTCATAAAAGATTGTGCTACATGAGTTTTTGTTCTGGCTTGCTTAGCCTGTACTCTCACTAGAAGAAGCCAATATGGCTAAATTAAAACTGTTATATTGTGGACATAGCATGAGAATATTGCTAGACATATCACACAGAAAGACAATTGATAGAGTGCAAGGCAGTAGGGAAAGAGGAAGACTACCTTACAGATGGATAGATTCAATCAAGGAAGTCCTGAGAAGGGCTATGGAGAGTCATTATAATAGAGTCATTAATAGAGTCAGCCGAAGTCAACTGAACACACACAACACTGCTAAATGCATGTGTGAATGTCACCATCAGAAGCCCTGAGCTTAGTGGTGGAGGTAGCATGATGTACTGGTTTGAGTCTTGGACTGCCACTCTGGATAAAACGGTTTCTGTTCAACTCAGGCATGAAACTTGCTAGGTGACCTTGGGTGAGTCACATTCTTAGCTGCAGAAAACGTCTTGATAGGTTCATCTTAAGGTCACCATAAGTCGGAAACTATTTCAGGGTAAGCAACAACAAACAGTGATTCCAACAATAGGTAGTTGTGATACTGCACCTTGTTGATGGGAAGCTTCCCACCAGTGTGGAAATCATTTGACGGACAGATGGCAAGCTATTTAACCTTAGCAGTCTGAAAGCCAAAACCAACATCAAAACAACATATTTTGTAGAACTCCAATATACTCATGATAATGTGGTCTGTGCTCATTCAGAAGAGGACTTAAAAGCCACCCTAAAAGTCTTTGCCGAAGCATACGAAAAGCTTGGCCTCTACTGAACATTGAGAAAACCAAAGTGCTCTTTCAATAGGCACCACCCATTCCCTCTGTAATGCCAGAAATACAACTTAATGGTGTAATGTTAGAAAATATTGATAATCCGCTATCTTAGCAGTCACCTCTCCACAAAAATCATCATCAATACTGAAATACAACACCGTCTGCGCTCTGCGAGTACAGCATTTTTCCAAATAAAGCAGAGACTGTTGGAGGACTGGGATATTCGTAGGGAGACCAAGGTGCTTGTTTACAAAGCTATTATTCTCCCAACCCTCTTATATGTCTGCGAAACGTGAACCACCTACAGATGTCACATTCAACTCCTGGAACAATTCCATCAGCATTGCCTCCAAAAAATCCTGCAAATCTCTTCGGAAAACAAGCGAATAAATGTCAGCATGCTAGAAGAAGCAAAGACCACCAGCATTGAAGCAATGACCCTCCACCATCAACTCTGCTGGACTGACCACGTTGTCCGAATGACCGATTACCAGGTCCCAAAGCAGTTACTCTGCTCCTAACTGAAGAACAAAAGGTTGGTGGACAGGAAAAGAGATTTAAAGAGGGGCTTAAAGCCAACCTTAAAAACTGTGGCATAGACACCGAGTACTGGGAAGCCTTGGCCATTGAATACACTTACTGGAGGTCAGCTGTTACCAACAGTGCTGTGGAATTCGAAGAGGCACAAATGGAGGGCAAATGGGAGAAAAGTGCCATGAGAAAGATGCATCAGGCCAACCCTGACTGTGACCGCCTTCCATATGGAAACCGATGTCCTCACTGTGGGAGAACATGCAGGTCAAGAATAGAGCTCCACAGTCACCTATGTATTCACCGCCAAGACCCCACGCTTGGAAGACAATCCTACTCAGACACAAGTGATTGCTGATGATGACTTGTTTGTGAATCAGTTTGTTTAAAAGAAAGAAATTAATATATTTTGTTACAATAGACCAAGGGACAGGATAAACAAATGTATCTTTTTCTACTCCCTTGCTCCCAGTTTTCAGAAAATGAGAAGTGAGATCAGTGGAAGATGGGAAGGGGAGAGGGGTTTTCCTTTTTCCTTTTGTGCATCCAGCAGAGTGCATCCAGATGAAACAATGGTAGCCTGGAGAAATGTATCATTTTTTAGAAGTTTGAATCCAAGTCAGGTTCAAACAGATACATACTTTTTTTGAATGTAAAATTTGGAAGAGAAGAAATCCATTAATACAGCGTTAACAGTGCTATGCAGTTTATGCTTAATACACCACATTATTGAGAGGGTACTATTGAATGCTCATGGGTTCCTGTGAGACAAGGGATTTCCATGCTAACCGCTTTGGATGCATTTGTTATTAAAGGTGTGTATAAATATATTTTAAATGGAGAAGAACAGCAAATAGGTTAAGCCCTTTTGATCTTTTAAAAGTCAGTCACTATGGATTGTTTCTGGAAACAAATGGGGAACTGGAGCACTACAGTAATGTACTCTTGATGATACACCACAGTCAGGAGACAGGCTGAATCTTCTATCAGGAACAATCCCACATAGTGTGCATTGCACTAGGCTGTCCTTTGAGTAGCAAAGACATGAATAATACATTGTTAAATCAGACTCCTGTTAATTAGGCTGGGAGCTTTTGACCAGATGGAAGTGATTAGAGAATAGTGCTCTACTCTAGAGTTTCAGGCTCACCGAAGGAACCACGTTCTGCCACAAGGCCAAGAACCCACTTAACCTAGGGAAACAGCATTTGCAAATGTATATGTGGGGGTTGTAATAATGTCACATCACGAAATATAATGGGATCAGCAAGAAGAAAGTTACTCTGTTGGTGTGGTAAGATTTCTAGTTGCTGTTTAGATTTACCTTTTAATCACTTTCAGAGACATTTTGATAGGAATGTTTCAAGCTTTTTGCCATTTCTAACCATTGTAACACTATCTTCAAAGTCATCAAAAAGTAATGAGCAATGGAACAAGTTTCCTTTTAAAGCACTGTAATTGCTGGTGTTAACAGTTTAAGTAGTTGAAGCACTACAGTGAGTAGCAGAAACAAAATAGTTGTCAAGAGTAACTGTCTGATCTGTGATTCACACCATCTCCAGTTCATTAGGATTGGGCAATCACCAACCTTGGCCAGTTTCATACTGCACTTGGCCTGCTTTCAAAAGCCCTCTGCAAATCATCAGTTCAAATATCTGGCAAGAGTGAGCTGTCTCTTTACTGGGGGGAAGATGGAAAGAGGGAGGGAGGAGAGGAATGGTAGAGAGGGGAGAGGAAGCAACTGCTGAGTACTGACAAAGCCCTGACAGATTCTGTCACCACTGAGAGAACGCAATCTTCAGCGGAAGAAACTTCCTCAACCCTCACTTCAATGGCCTACGAAACTAGGATTGGGAAATTCCTGTGCATGAGTTCTTGTAGAGTTGGTGTCCAAGTAGACAATAATATGGCATTTACCATGCTATCTTGGAATGATAAGACTTGTAGTTTAATACCTCTCCAGGGACCATGTCAGGGAAACAGGATTTTTTTTTTTACAATATTTTTGTTTCAATTTTACAATATCTTGTTTACACTTAGTTTCCATTGGTGCTCATATTTATACACACTTCAGTTCCATGTAACATTGCTTTTATCTGCACCCTCTCTTTTTATACATCCTTCTGTCTAAAAAAGGGAAAAGAAAAAAAGGAGGAAAAAAAGGGGAAAGATAGGTAACCTCTGGTCTAACCCAGTCTAGTCACAAAGAAAGCTAATATCATATGCTTCACCCTCTAGACCTCTCTTTATTTACTCTTTTCTCATAACAACATAGACAAAAAACCTTTAATTTATTCTTCAAAACTCAGAATTGGCAAGCCTTTCTCTTCATGCAAAAAGCAAATAAAAGTCTTTTAAAGAAAGTTTTCTTTTTTAGTAGACATGTTAGTTTGTCCATTTCAACCAAGACCATCATTTTTATTATCCATTCCTCTGTTGTTGGTATTGTTGTACTCTTCCATTTCTATGTGTAGAGTAGTGTGGCTGCTGTGGTCATATATTGCCATAGTCTATCCTGGTTATTTTTTATCAGTCAGACCAAGCAGAAAAGTTTCCAGTTTTAGCTGGATGCTAAAGTGGGATTTTTTTCAATGAATAACTGGACCAGGTATGAAGACAATTTCTTTTGATCATGTTGGTATTTTTGAGAAAGTAACTAATAGCCTTCTAATCAAGGTGAAAGAAGGAAGCGCAAAAGCTGGGTTGCAGCTAAACATAAATAAACCCAAGATTATAGCAACAAGAATGATTGACAACTGGGAAATAGAGGGAGAAAACGTGGAGGCAGTGACAGACTTTGTATTTCTAGGTGCAAAGATTACTGCAGACGCAGATGGCAGCCAGGAAATCAGGAGATGCTTACTTTTTGGGAGGAGAGCAATGTCCAATCTCGATAAAATAGTGAAGGGTAGAGACATCACACTGGCAGCGAAGATCCACATAGTTAAAGCAATGGTATTCCCCATAGTCACCTACGGATGTGAGAGCTGGACCATAAGGAAGGCTGAGTGAAGGAAGATAGATGCTTTTAAACTGTGGTGCTGGAGGAAAGTTCTGAGAGTGCCTTGGACCGCGAGAAGATCCAACTAGTCCATACTTCAGAAAACAAAGCCTTCCCGGAGGGAAGGATAGTAGAGGCAAAGATGAAGTACTTTGGCCACATCATGAGAAGAAAGGAAAGCTTAGAGAAGACAATTATGCTGGGGAAAATGGAAGGAAAAAGGAAGAGGGGCCAACCAAGTGCATGATGGATGAATGGGATCCTTGAAGTGACTGGATTGATCTTGAAGGATCTGGGGGTGGTGACGACCGACAGGGAGCTCTGGCGTGGACTGATCCATGAGGTCACGAAGAGTCAGAAACGACTGAACTAATGAACAACAACAAAAACTAACAGAGATCACAACTTCCATTTCAGGTATTTTGTGATTCCTTACAAACATAATGAAAGAAGATCTAGTGGTTTGAAGCCGAGATTCTCTAAAATGGTATTTCTGTGCTATTTTCTATTACAGATAAAATAGTCTTCACTTTTTCTAGTTAAACAGGACTTCCTGAAGGGTACTGAACAACATGACATTGTGTGCCACAATGCAAAAATGTGTTGAAATTCTCTATAATGCTTTTTGATGTTTTATATTAGCACTGTGTTTGAGACAAAGTCTGGATCAGCAGAAGAGGGAATGTACTGTTGCTTAGTTATGGGAGGTAAATATTCCCAGCTAATTTATTTATCAAATCTCTGTTGCAGAGAAAATATGCCAAGCCATTTCAAATTCAAAGAATATTGTCCTATGGTTTTTCGTAATCTGCGTGAGAGATTTGGAATTGATGATCAGGACTTCCAGGTAGGCAATTTTATCTTAGTAATCAAATGTTGTTGATTTGAGCTGAATAGATTCAAGTGGGGGATCTAATTGTGAGTCTTGCTTGCATGCTGGTCGCTTCTGTTCTTTCTTTTTTTTTCTTTTTTTTTCTTTTTTCTTCTTCTTTTTTTTCTTTTTAATCTCTGTGTTTGTTTTGCTCTGTTAGAATTGTAATACAATGGTTGCTGATGACACGATAAATAAATAAATAAATTGTGAGTCTGGTTTTGTCTCCTTTATTTGATGGCATATTTCATCCTGGGGGAAATGTGCTTTCTCGCCACCTCCTTATAGGGCTACAAAATCCAGACCTTCTGGTGCCTGTACTTTTGAATATATTGTGAAAGGCTTCAGTGTCTGTGTTGACTGTTCCTTCATCAGACCTCTTGCTCATCATCCATCCCTGGCTGTTATCTTCAGCAGGGCTTTAATTTTGCCTGAGAGAGAAAACAGTGGGCAACAGCTGATGGAGAAAAGAGGCAAGAAGGCCACTGGCTGTATTGTCACAGTGGCTCATGTAACTTTAAGCTTTGTTGAAAAGATATTCTGATATTCTCAACAGACTTCTGAAGTCCTAGCAGGGTAACAAATGCTGACATCTGACACTTTTTCCTCATTGTGAAAATGTTCTGCCTCCCTGCCATATTGCTATCATTTTCAGTGTGTTTAGGTTCCCTTCTGCTGTGCTCATTTCTTCCCTCTCTGTGATTTAATGTGTTCTATATATGTCATGATAAAGTTGCTTAGAGTAAATACCTTATCATTTGAAATCAGTATCTGTTCCACTCAACTACAAAATGGAAACTAGAAAAACACAAGTGTTTGATATAGTGTCCATAAACAAAGCTTGAAAAACTGTCTCTTTTAAACAAAAACATCTAGGAAAAAGTGGCTCTCAACCTGTGGGTCCCCAGGTGTTTTGGCCTACAACTCTCAGAAATCCCAGCCAGTTTACCAGCTGTTAAGATTTCTGGGAGTTGAAGGCCAAAACATCTGGGGATCCACAGATTGAGAACCACTGACCTAGAATCTTCCATCCAACATGGCTAGTGGGCATCCATGGTGGTGGGCAGATTAGGGAGTTATAGTTCAAAATCTAAGCTTTCCAAGCCTGATTAAGTGCTGTGGTCACAGAAATAATTAATCACATGTAAGAATTGCCGAGTTACTGAATTCTCTTCAAAGACCCTGTTACATCCATCCACACTCAGAAGTTAGCAACAGGAGATGGAAGTGCATCAATGACTGTATCATGCTTTGACCCTGGAACTCCCTCTATCTATCCAGCTAGCATGAAGCAGACTTCTTCTGTTTCCTTGAGGAGATGCCACTGACTTGGGAAACTATAATAAACCTTCTCAGTTGCTGAACGAGAGGTAATTTGAGGAGATACAAAATAAAATTAGATCCGTAGGTAATTTTAATCTCATAACACTGGCCAAAGGACAATATTTACTGTAAGATCATCCTTCACTGACAGATACTTTAGAAAACTGTGTTATCGAAGAGGACAAACTTGAAAAAATTACTATAGAATTGTGCTCTTTGCTGCCGTATCTTAATATAGCTTAACATCAGTATGCTAAATAATACATTGGAAATATCTCAGACATTGATCATACTTCTGATCTATATTTGTTAAAAGTAGGCATCTATAATGGGATAGAGACGTAGCAAACTGAAATTATACTTTATTTATAATGTCTTCCTGAATAATATTGTTATCTAGGCTAATTGAAATGGATGTGTAGGGAAAAGTTCTTGCTTTGCATGGGTATGATCTTGTGGCATGAACAGGAGGCATTTTCCATTTTTTCTTCAAGGTTTAAAACTGGATAGGCCTGCCGAAAGAGATAGGTCTTCACTTGTGTCTTAGATTCTGACAGCTCTACCAGCAGGTCATTCCACAGTCCTGGGGCAGCTGATGAAAAGGTCCTCTGGTGTTGGTTGCCAGTCAAGTTCTGGCAGCCTGGGACAGGCACCTCCTATCCGCCCTGAACCTCAGTGTTCAGGGCAGATTGCACAGGAGAAGGCAATCCTATAGGTAACCTAGATTCAAACCATGTAGGGCTTTAAAGATTAATACCAACAACTTATACTTTGCCCACAAACTAATTGGCAGCCAACGGAGTAGCTTTAGGATAGGTTTTAATATGCTCACTCCTAGGTGTTTCCTGTAACCAATCTGGCTGCTATATTTTGAACTAGCTGGAGTTTCCAAACTTGATACAAGGGTAGCCCAATGTAAAGTGCATTGCAGAAGTCAAACCTTGAGGTTACCAGTGTGTGCAGTGCCATCTTCAGGTCCTCCAAATCTAGGAAGGGGCTCAGCTGGCATATCAGCCGAAGCTGACTGTCGCATCTACTTGGGCTGACATTTGGAAAGACAGATTCAGAAGTGCTCCCAAGCATCAACACAGTCCTTTAGGAGGCGTGTAACCCCATCCAGAACTGGTTGACAGGCGTCTATCCCCAGATGAGAACTCTTGATGGCACCTCTATTTTGTCTGCATTCAGTTTCAATTTGTTTTTCCTCATCCAGCCCCTGCCTGAGAGATGCATTAATAAGTTGTTGTATTTGAGATTGAATTGCATCTCCTTCTTGGTTGACCAGCCAAGCTGGACAGGGATCCAGAACTCAGGTTGTCCTCCTTACTTGTTCCAATGGCTTGTCCACATCAACAGTACTTACCAGTTGAAACCGATCCAGTGTAATCCTACTCACAGAGTTGCTGGACTCCTTGTTGCTGGCCTCTGCTCCAATGACAGCATCTAGTATATATGCATTTCATGCAGATTTGTGTCCTGTGGACCTAGACTAAAAAACCTTCTCGTGCCTTGCAGTGTCCCTGCTTCAAATAGATAGAATTTAGCTTTAAAAAACAACCAAAAAACCTGGGTCAGATTACCCATAGGTCAGTATAAGTGATGTACCTTAACTCTTACACAACATAAGTCACATATAAAAAATGTCAGGCCATCAAATGCTAATCAAGGTAGCCAATTGAAACATTCATACCTAGCTCCAACAGACAAGAGTTCTTTCTCCCACCCTAGACTTTCCACAGATATATAAACCCAATTTTCCTAGTTTCCAACAGACCTCACAACCTCTGAGGATACCTGTCATAGATACAGGCAAAATGTCAGGAAGCAATGCTTCTGGAACATGACCATACAGCCCGAAAAACCTACAACAACCCACCTCTTACTAAATTTTAAGAAATGGGAACCTTTTATTTTTGAAAAACGTGCATTTTCTGCTTTGTGTGCTTTAGAGTTTCACCCACAGAGGAAGCCATCTCTGCTACTTCCGCTTTGTCCCTTCTTCTGAAATTACTGTTATAGCCACCACTTCCCTCTGTTTTGAATTCTTCTAAATTGCTCCACTGCTGTTTTGACACTTTACCATAGAAATTAATTGAAATAGGGTGTGAGTATATATGTATGTTGGTCATGGTACATTTACAGACTGAAAAAGCGGGCACATTCAAATGTGGATGTAAATTGGTTTGCTGCACTTTTTTTCCCTTCTGCAGTTCAAGCCTGGCTTTGATTTGCTCCTCATCTGTCAAATATATTGTTAACCTTGATTTATTAGATTCTCTTACATGTACTTCAGGCAGGCTGCCAGCTCTTTTTTTATATTTAAAGCACTCAGTACATGTTTGTTTAAGAAAATGTACAAAAATATATTTCTAGATCATTGAGAGAATGTCCCGAGATTAGTTAGTGAGATAGATTTAACAGTTTACAGACAATTGGTATGCAAATCTGGCTTCTGTTACACACAAAAGACCTGGCTTTTTCTTCTGTAAGCAGTCAGAGATGGATGTAGTTGCCAGATTTTATACTGTGTCAGACTATTGATCCATCTAACCCAGTATTGTCTGTTCTGATTGGCAGCTGTTCAGGGCCTCATGCAGAGGAAACAGCACCTGGTATTTGGTTCTTTTAGCTGAAAATGCTAGGTATTAAACCTATATGTGAGTGATGAGTGGGTACATTGCTCAAAGCCATATTTTCTAACTCTGGTTTTGAATACTTGGAACATGTGCCTCGGGAATACCAACCAGAATTAATTCTCAGCTATGCTATTATAACCGAACAATGCAGGACCAGCAGAGGCAAAATGGCATACTTCCCAGTTTGTTTAATAGGCCATGTCAGTGTAATTAAAACAACTGTTTCCCCAAATGTCTTTGTGCTTGGAATCTACAGTAGATGTCTCTGATAAGTTGTTCCAGTGGCTAGACATAGTATGTTCACAACATGAACTTCCAGAATCAGTTTACAGTTGATAAGTTGTGGAGATTGCATTCAAACTGAAATTGATTTTACCACATATTTGCCGTTGTGAAGTTCATAAGCATATTCTGCAGCTAGCATGCATGAGCAGATACATTAGTGAATTGCATTAGCAAATACATTAATTGATAGGGTCTCTCAGCTTAAATTTCCTGTGTAGTAGTTAAAATCTTGTCAACCTTTGTGCTGAATCTTTAAGAACAGAGGCATCTAATTCCTTTTATTCCAGATGGATGAGACCCAGATTAATATGCCTTCCCCTTAGAATGCTAGCAACAAAACCTTGGGTCTCCGTAGTTCATCTTCCAAGAAAGGTTTTTGTTGCTTGAATTGCTTTAAAAGTGTTGCAAAGTGTTAATTTTTGGAAAGTTTACACTAAATAAAAAGGCGAAATGGTCTTGATTTGGATTGTGCTTGTTAATGTTTTTGACTCCACTGAGAGACTGAATCAATAGCTGTCAGACCACTGTCATAAAAGTAGGACAGTCATTAGCAGATGACTTTGACCTTTATCAGGGGAAAAGGCTCACTGGGTTTAATCAGTATGTTTACAAAGAACTGGTAAAACACCTCCACTTGAACAAAGCACTCAGTTTTAAGCTATAGTGAAGCAGTTGAACTTTGCCGGGAAGGGGGTGGCGATTGGCTGACAGTTCTAGCCTCTGCATTTCATTTAGGGGACCATATTTCTTGTGTCTTTACAATCAAGAGTTCAGTCCCACTTCGGGTATTGTTTCTCCCTTAATTAGCATATTTGTTCATGGGAGGAAGAAGCTAAAAAGGCCACATTCCCCACATATTTTGAAAGAGAAGTGGGATAAACTGCTGTTCTGCATTTTGATTCTGCTGCTGTGAAGGCAAACAGGCACTGATCTGATTCCTTCTAGCATTGTTGTTCATATTCCAAATGCAAAAAAGCTACTTCTTCACTTCTATGACATTCCTTAATTTTGCATTTGAGAGTAGAACACTTAATATTTGAATGCAAAACTACTTTTAAGACCATGGCTGATTGTATATTAGGCTCACACAAAGAAAAGGTGTGAATTATGCACCTTTATTACAATTTTTTTAAAGTGCTTTGCCAGCTGTTATTATCTTCTGGTCTAAAGAGCAACTTATCAATACCCCAAATCAGCATTTCTCAACGTGGGGGTCAGGATCCCTGAGGAGTCACAAGGAGGTGTCAGAGGGGTCACCAAAGACCATCAGAAAACACAGTATTTTCTGTTGGTCATGGGGGTTCTGTGTGGGACGTTTGGCCCAATTCTATCATTGGCAGGGTTCAAAATGCTCTTTGATTGTAGGTGAATTATAAATTCCAGCAACTACAACTCCCAAATGTCAAGTCTATTTTCCCCAAACTCCACCAGTGTTCATATTTGGGCATATTGAGTATCCATGCCAAGTTTGGTCCAGATCCATTATTGTTTGAGTCCACAGTGATCTTTGGTCAAGTTCAATGCCCACCAAATCCTCCCAGTATTTTCTCTTGGCCRTGGGAGTTCTCTGTGCCAAGTTTGGTTAAATTCCTTCATTGRTGGAGTTCAGAATGCTCTTTGATTGTAGATGAATTACAAATCTCAGCAATTACAACTCCCAAATGGCAAAATCAATCTCCTCAACCCCACCAGTATTCCAATTTAGGTGTATTGGATATTTGTACCAAATTTAGTCCAGTGAATGAAAATACATCCTGCATATCAGATATTTACATTACAATTCATAAAAGTAGCAAAATTACAGCTATGGAATAGCAATGAAAATAATTTTATGGTTGGGGGTCACCACAATATGAAGAACTGTATTAAGGGGTCACGGCATTAGGAAGGTTGACAACCACAAAATTCACTAAAATAGAGTAAATTGAGGATCGTCTTTAGTATTATGTACACCCGTGCTTTCTAATGATGTGTTTCTTTAACAGTTTCACTGTACACTTGTTTTCAATGTAAACAGAATACCTGAAATATGAATACTATTAAATAGGTTGTGCGCCTGCATAAGTAATCTTTAGTTGTGAGAACAACTTATTATAATTTAATGATATTAATATGCCAATGAGTGGCATAAAAGATTGGAGATTAGTACAGGCTAATTAAATTGACCTTTAAATCCTTCCCTTCCCTCTTGGAGTTTGTCGGTAATCCCTAAACACCCCTAGTGCAGAGAAACTTCAAAGCGGAAGGATATGACTGCTCTTCTTTCCCTATCTTGCTGTACCTTGAAATTTTCATTGAGCAAATGTTTAGACAGCAGAAGATATAGTTATTAGACTTCCAAGGACTCCTATATCTTTTATATAATCAGCACGATTAGGGAAACACTAAGATTTTCTCTTGATGGTGATGCTTACACATTACATTATTTTATTTTAAATTTTATTCTTTTTCCCTTCTCTTTAAAAAGACAATTAAGATTTATACATTTGGATTTTTATTGTCCACCTCAGCTTCTTGCTTAGTTTACTGTTTGGATTTTTGGATCCGATGCTTCTTGCTCTTGGTCACTGGAAGGGTATGAGTCAAATAACCACTTGGCCATGAAGTCCATTCTGTGACTTTGAGCTAGTTAGTATTTTTCGGTCTAACCTACCTTCCATAATTGTTTTGTAGATAAGGATGAGGAAATCCTTACAGCTTCATTGAGCTCCCTTTAGCTCTTTGGACGGAATGTAAGACTTAAATTTAACACATAACTCAATAATAATAATAATAATAATAATAATAATAATAATAATAATAATGAGGAGGAGGAGGAGGAGGAAGGGGCTATGGCTGCTTTAATTCACTGGAGTATTGAGTAGATGCCTCAACATTCAGTAGCGTTGTTGTTGTTGTTGATGATGATGATGATGATGGTCAGATTGAAATTTGCAAGTCAAAATTCCAATCTGGAAAGAAGTCAGCAGAAACCAAAAATAGTAGCAGTGAGCATTCATTGTGGTAGATGCCTCAAAATTTGAGAGACTGTTTTAGTTGTATTTCTTAGTTCCAAATTAAAAAGTTAGAATTGGGGAAACTTCACAGAAAGAAAAGGGGGAGCTAGGATAAGTCTTAGGAACATTGTGGTAGTAGTCTCCTCAGACTGACAAAAGTATGTTGTCTAATGTGTACATGAAAATGCTGAGCCCTCTTGGGGTTTGAGGGCTTCACCAAGCTGTGAAGTGTAGTCATTGTCACTAGTGGATGTACACTCCATTTGACTGAAGTTGTAAGTGTTGAAAGGTCAGCTTGAATTTCATGACCTTCAACAAAGACTCTTGTTGACTGCTCTCAGTGGATATGGGCAATCCTTTTGTTGACCTATGTAGAGACATCATGACATTTTCAGCTAAAGGTTGCTAAGAAAGCAGCAATTGGATGGGTTAGTGGTGAAGAGGGGCAGGTAGTTATGTGTTCAAAATGAAATGAAAGGCCCTATGACCACAGTCCATATCAATATGCGGTTTCATTGTAGAGTTTTCCACTGAGGAGACTTCCAGTGTTTAGACTGCAGAAGGGACCGCTTTTTTAGTAAACTCCCCCCCCCCCCACACACACACACACAAACACTTAGCTATTACACTGATATACTTTAATGATTATAGATTACTTTTGAAAATAAACACCAAGGAAGTGACCCTCAAAGTATCTAGGGCTATTAAGTCTCACCATACTGTTGCCTTGTGAAGCAGCACTGGTACTTTCCCCTCTGTGCAGAATTTATTTATTACATGTCAAAATCATTGCATAAATAAATAAGTATAAAACTGATAAAATAGAGGGAACACAAGTGGCTAAATAATTTTAGACCAAAACCAGGCAATGGCAACCACATTGTCAGTAGCTTAAAACAGGGCATTGTGGACATTGTGGCAGGGCATTGTGGACAAGCATACAGGCTGTTTGTTCTGCTTCACAGTACAAGATGGAGGGTTCTTCAAGGTAATGCCATTTAGCCAGGTTGTCTTTTGATCTGCCAACACCACTTCTGAGTCTGTTCAGGGACTTCCACGTTACCCATTCTTGGTTTGCCCCTGGAGGAAGACCCCCATGGGGGGGGGGGGGCATCCAGTTGGAATTGCCTGATATTTCTGCCCAGAGGATATTCTTGCTGTTGTGGAAAGAACTTTAAGAGGAGTAGTGGTTCTTGTGAAACTTTTCCTTGATTTGAGTCTACTGAGAGGAGGCTGGTAGCCATGCAGTGGGTGGTTTACATAGTGTTCAACCTTACTTCTCTCGCAGTTGGCAGTAACTTCCCATGGGAGGGGGGCAATACCAGCTATCTTATAGAGTCTGTCAACAGGTGTAGGTTTGAGACATCCTGTGATTACCCCACATGTTTCGTTCAGTGCTATCTGTGCAAAATGATCCTCGACTAATCCATGAGTCATATCAAAATCCATAATTTTGGCCCCAAAACCTGCCCTTGACTTATACATGGGTTCAACTTATACATGAGTATTTACAGGCAAGTATACATCTGCATTTACTTTACAGCAGGCCCTTTTATTTTATTTTATTTTTAGCACTTCTTACTTGAGTCATTCTGATTCCTTTTTTGGAATGCAGATTTTAGTACATTTTGTACATTTAATGAAGATAGCGGCACCACTGGAAAGGCCTGCATGTAAATAAAGATTCAATTAAGAAGCTTGAGTCTACATTCTTGGCACCATGTTGTGATGGAACAAAGTGCTTTTTTGAACACGTCCTCATTCTTTCAGAATGACACTTGATCTTGGACAAAGTGCTGTATCTAAAAAATAAAACGCATTTCACTGTGTTGCTACTGTAATCCTGTGTCTTAAAATATACTAAAATGAGGCACTTGCTGAGACTAGCATCATTTGAAGATGCTCAGTATTAAATTACTAAGCCTAAACTTGTATTGTTTTTATATGAAAATAGCTGTCTTGCAGAAAGATAGCACAATTGTTCATCAAAAACTTGCAGTTTTGCTTTATATTAAATTTCAGCTTGCATTATATAGGACAGGAGAGTTACCTTTATATTTATTGTTGTTCAAATGGCAAACTTTCAAAATCTAAATTGTATTTTTACTGTAGCAAACAGTATATGTGTAATTGATTTGAAAAAAGATGCAAGAAAAATACTTTCAATTCAGAAAAACTTTGTATGGCTTGTACAGGCCGGTTCTAAACTGTAGTTGACCAGAAAATGTTGGAGTGCATTTACCAACGTTCTGCACCCAAAATATTCTACTTAGCAATGCCTTGGAGTATCCAAAAAGAGGATAAAGTAGGAATTCCTCCAGATTCACAATGAAATTCCAAGACACTGCCCACTGATAGATTGATTTGCCCCTACCCCAACTTTCCTCAGAGTATTCATGATATAATCCAAGCTGCAATTATAGTTTGATAATTTCATAATCCATTTGGATACTTTTGTGTTTTGATGGCCATAACTTTTTCTCTGACCTTTTTAAAATATATGCGTGTGTGTTACAGAATTCTCTGACAAGAAGTTGCCCTCTTGCTAATGATTCTCAAGCACGGAGTGGGGCCCGATTCCATACCTCTTACGACAAAAGATATGTCATCAAAACGATAACTAGTGAAGATGTAGCAGAAATGCACAATATACTGAAGAAGTACCACCAGGTAATCTATTTCTTGTTTTGTAAGTCCAAGTTGGTAAAGTGAAACACTGAGAGCTTTCTATTAGTGCATGGGAAGTTGAATTAGTACCTCACTAAGTAATATTTAGAAATCCCGAGAGAGAATGAATTACTCTTTATTAAGAAGTCTGCAGAGATCTTTCTACTTTATTTATTCTCTACACATTTCTGAAGTGTCTGGCATAACTTAGTCTCTGTTCCCAATGGATGGCATTCATGTGGTTCCCTTGCGATGTTTGTGTGTATGTGCCTTCAAGTCAGTTCTCAACTTACAGTCACTCCGTTAATTTCTTATTGCAATAATGCACAGACTTTCTATACTTTGAGCTATCTAATCGAAATTTATTATCTTGAGTACTGCGTTGTTTTCTTTTTTCTTCCAGAGACCAAATTGGTCTCTTTCTACACAATACCAATTAAGCTATATTTGAAAAGCTGATGCTAGTTCTTTATCGTCAATAAGTTCCTGTTGTAGCTCTGCTGTTTAATCCGCTTGACAGACTTTTTGGGGCAAGCTAATATTAAACTCAACAAAGTTTTTGGAATCTGATTTGAAATACAAAATGGCAACCAGTTGAAATTATTTTCATAAGGATGTGCAGCCTGTTCAGGATTGTTGACAATGCTGACATTGAAAAGATGTTATTTTAATAATCTAAAATTGACACATTTCACTGGTGAAAACTTTTAATCATCAGAACTACAATAAAAGGCTTTGAAGAATAATATTTATTTATTTATTTATTTATTTATTTATTTATTTATTTATAGCCTGCCCTCTCTCCCCAGAGGGGCTCAGGGCTATTTCCAAGGTATAACAAAAATAGCAAACATTCAATGACAGGGACAAAGAAACACAAATCAAATCAAAACATAAAATAAAATAAACTGCATATAACTTATAAACAACCGAACTTGAAGGATCAACTAAATGAACATAATATAATACAATAAAACACAATACATTAAAAGCATAATATAGTATATCAAACAGCAGGCTGAGGTAGGTATCCAAAATTGAAGCAAGGATGAGTGTGTAGTATGCTAATCCTCCTCCTCTTCATAAGCTAGATTGCATAGGTAGGTCTTTAAAAGCTTTTTAAAGGAGAGGAGGGAGGGGCATTTTAAGGAGTTCCAGAGGCAGGGATTAGCCACAGAGAAGCCCCCCCCCTCTCGTTCCCACCAACCACGCTTGAGATGGGGGTGGGACTGAGAGCAGGGCAGCCTCCGCAAATCTCAGTGCTCGTACTGGTTTGAAGGCGGAGATGTGGTTTTTCAAATAGTCTGAGTCCGAACCACTTAGGGCAGTGGTTCTCAACCTGTGGGTCCCCAGATGTTTTGGCCTTCAACTCCCAGAAATCCTAAACTGGCTGGGATTTCTGGGAGTTGTAGGCCAAAACATCTGGGGACTCACAGGTTGAGAACCACTGGCTTAGGGCTTTATAGGTAATGACCATTTTATATTTAGCCCAGTAGCAGACCGGCAGCCAGTGGGGCTGCGTTAGTATGGGAGTGGATCTCTCCCTGTACGGTGCTCCAGTTAGTAACCTGGTTGCCAATCTCTGAACTAGTTGCAGCCTCCAAACAATCTTCAAAGAGAGCATTGCAGTAGTCCAGGCGGGAAGTAACCAGATGTGGTGGCCAGATCTGATGTCTCAAGGTATAGGCACAGCTGGTGCACAAGTTTTAGTTGTGCGAAGGTGTTCCTGGCCACCACTGACACCTGGGGTTCTAGGTTCAACGATGAATCCAGGAGCATCCCCAGACTGCAAACCTGTGTTTTCAGGGGAAGTGTGGACCCCGTCCAGCACAGGCTGTAACCCCACACCCTGATCCGCCTTCCAACTGACCAGGAGTACCTCTGTGTTGTCTGGATTTACTTTCAACTTACTAGTCCTCATCCAGTCCATCACTGATGACAGGCAGTGGTTTAGGGGGGAAGCATCTGATATTACCAGAAACAACTATTTATAACTTCTAGTTCCGTATTTTTTATCTACTGTTATATCAGCATATTGAACATTTCTGTTAACTGTGTGATAAAGAACTGAATGATCATTTTACTTTTGAAGAACAGTTTATTTCCATGAAGGATTTATAGAATCTATTTGGACAAAAAGAAAAAGGTACATTATAAAGGCAAGAAAGGCAAATTGTACTCCAAACGCAGAAGTCATAAAATTGCTCTCTCAGTGTTTGTTAAAACTTTATAATTTGTTATTGTTTTATGGCACTCATGATACAGAATGTAGGTGTCAGTTTTCATGAAGTTTAGACAGAGGAAGTTTCCTCAGTGGTTTTTTCTCAGATCAGAAAACTGTGTCACATAAATTTTGGAAAGTGATGTATTGATAGGTAGTAGAGGACAGGGAGGAATTGTCTGAACCCTTTAGCCCAAACCATGTGCACAAAATGGATGGAAATGTAGAATGATTTGAGTCTTTTTCTACCTGTTGCCTGCCATAAGAGGAATACTCTGTGTTGCATTGATGAAAATCCACAGAGGAGGAAAATTTGTGAAAACCACCACAAGTAGATATACTGAAGCGTGTATTCCAACAACACTGGGAGGGTGGAAGTTGCATGATTCTTTACTGACAATTGCCATATCCCTTAATATAGGGTGAACCAAATGTATATCCATGAAGGCAGTGGCTCCCAGCCTTTTTTTGATCAGGGATCACTCTCCAACATTAATACCAAAAGGGTTACAAATAAGTTGGAGGTGTGGAGTGGCAGAAGACAGGCTCTAAAACTTTGGTTCTCAACCTGTGGGTCCCCAGGTGTTTTGGCCTTCAACTCCCAGAAATCCTAGCAGCTGGTAAACTGGTTGGTATTTCTGGGAGTTGTAGGCCAAAACACCTGGGGACCCACAGGCTGAGAACCACTGCACTAAAGCAATGTAAAAACCATCTGTTTAGGCTAGCATTTGATTGGCAAGGTTAGAATAGAAATATTATTTTTGTCTTGTACATGTGTATTGATTTTTTTTTAATTTTGAAAAAGCTTTGTTGTATACATTGTTCTCACTTTGAGCACTGTAAGGATACAAAACTGGATTAAGATAAATTGAGATGTGCATTACAGTTTTGTGCAGATCTCTTTTCATTCACCCTCAGTGAAGCAGTGCAACTTAAATATATATAGGATCTTGACTCTCAAAGAGAAATGTGCTCCTTTTGTCAAATTGCATGCTGAAATGCTCTGGAGGAATTAGACTGGAATCTGCTGAAATGATCAAAGCACAGGGCCGTGCAAAGAACAAAGTCAGTCGGGATGATCACTGATATGAAATAAGAGTTTGAGTAGTGGTGACACCAACAGAAATCTTGATAGACATTTCTATGCAGAGATCAATGTAAAAGGATGAAAGGTTTAAATTATAAATACACGATGCAAATAAGGTTGGACTTTTTTATTGCAGGACAGTTCCCAAGGGCTGTTTGTACAACATCAGATGCTTATGTTATAGAATTAGACTAGTTATTGACGGTTTCCCCCCTTAGTTTTCTTTCCTTGTTCTAGCATCAGGTAGTATATCCCCTTTTAGTGGCTTGGGTTCCCCGTTCAGGATCATCTCAGGCACTGAACCTAAGACTGAGAGACAACCCTGGTAATGTTGTTATTAAAGATTAAGTACCAACAACAGCAGAACAGAGGGTGAGTCCTGACACCACAATTACTGGAAAGAGGAGGCTAAATGTATAGACTTGTCTGGAGATTGTTTGCAAGTTGCAGCACAAATGAATGAAATCTTAGAAATGATCAAAAGTGGCTGAGAAAGGGGAACATACTGCTGGGCTAAAGCTTGGTAAGATCTAAAAACCTTGGGAAGCAACTGAACACAACAGGATTAATTTGACAAAAGTAGACAGAAATCAGACAGACCTGGCAAATTAATAATATGACTAATTGGTAATTGGTGATGCCAACATGTAGAGGAGGAGAGAGTAGTGATCAATAAGGGCTAATACGCTCATTAGAGACAAAGTTGAAGTACTTTGGCCACATCATAAGAAGACAGGAAAGCTTAGAGAAGACAATTATGCTGGGGAAAATGGAAGGAAAAAGGAAGAGGGGTCGGCCAAGGGCATGGATGGATGGCATCCTTGAAGTGACTGGCTTGACTCTTGAGATGCTGGGGAGGTGACGGTCGACAGGGAGCTCTGGCGTGGGCTGGTCCATGAGGTCACGAGGAGTCGAAAACGACTGAACGAATGAACAACAACAAAGGACTAATACTTTGCTTTAGTTTGAATACTCACCTGGCAAAATTAATATATTCCTTCTAGAATCTGGTGTGTTAAATATTGAATAGAAGACAGGATTAAACCATTACTGTATTAAGCAATCTTCAGTAGCCAGAACCTGAAAATTAGCAATATAGTTGGCCATCCATATCCATATCCATGGATTCTGCATCCATTATTTCAACCATAAACAGTTTGAAAATATATTTCTAAACATTCAAACAGCAAAACTTGATTTTTCCATTTTTATAAGAGAAAACACTTTACTATACCACTGTATATAATGGCATTTGCACATCCATAGAACCAAACCCAGGGTTTAGTAAGTATTTTTCTATCCCTATTGTGTCTCCCTATAGAGTTCTGTTTATCCTTTGTTTAAGGAGATATTGGTACCATTTAGTTTATGATTTAATTAGTTTAACCAAGCCTAGGAGCAAATTCTTTAGAGCATCTGAGCTTTATAAATAGAATATATCAAATGGGGATTTGATCATAACTTAATGTCTATTGGTATATTGAAAACCTGCTAGTTACTAGCATCAGAGTACATGTCATAGGACTCCTTCCCAAAGACACCACTGTGTTTGCTTTACTTTTCAATGAACATGAGAACAGTGGGAGTTTTTAAAGAGAGAAGGATATGATCACATAGATAATCTTTGGAGGGGAAATATCCTACCACCCCATCCCCATACACACTTTTACATGTGTTTGTTGAGAGTAGATTGTG